GATTCGCGTCAATGCTTGGTGGGTGCCATGTCGCTCTTCAGCCAGTGTTGTGTCGAGAAGTATTGCTCGCGAGAGACATCTTCACACAGGTGTAGCAACCGCTCACCGTTATCAATACGAGAACCTACCCCATGTTGGCCGCCCAGATGAAGCTCAACAGTGGAAAACTTTCCGACAGGCGTTTAGATCACCAGCAAGCACCACGGAATCCTTATTTTCTGTGAAGACGGTGGGTATTCAGTTGGTGATAGCATTCATTTTTCACTGAACCAGCGCTACAGTTTGTGGTGGAGTAAGCCGCAAGGAGAAACGGGCAACGTTTTCCCCGGCGTGACTTAGAAGCCTGAAACGAGCCAGCCAATCTAACGGCGCACATCCGCTGCTGACTGGAATCCAGTCAACCAGGGAAGCCTCAGTCACGGGAATCAAAACAATGCCCCATACGGCTTGAATGAAATTTGAAGCTGCCTTACCTCCACACAGGCGCAAAGAGGATGCGCTCACAAGTTTGCACGTGGGGGATCGCAGGACAAGCACAGAGCTCGGATTTTGCAGGCGGGTATCCGATAAGCAGCACATAACGATCGATAGACTGCCCGCTGTTAGTCCGAAAAAAAAACTGATCTAGGAGCAGCTTCCGTGCCGCACTAATGCACGCATGAAGCAAACCCGACGCGTGCTCTATGAACTCAAACCGTCCAATCGACACCTTGTGTTTGACCGCACGCGTCCATACGACTGCAAGTGCGCTCAGCGCCACATTTCCATTTGGTGTGGCCGCATGTGAAGTGTAGACTCCACGCCAAACTGCACTGCCTGACGGCCAGTCTAGGGATAAGTCGCAGTTGACCACATGATCCAAAGCACACGACGTGCTTACTCGGCTAGGAGTGCGGACGGACAGGCGAATCCCTAACCGAAGCGCTCGATAGTCTTGGGTCGTCCGCCGTTTCCTCGTTGTGCTATCGTTCAGCAGACTTACAATGAATACGATGGTCCCGTACTGAGCCATTCTGGCAATTTGTATTGCACAGCGCATGAGCTGTGTCGTAATTAGCAACTCGTGCATGCGCAGATGACCTATCTTGCAAACCATGGGATAGACAGCGAGCATACAGTCTACTGTTCGCTATGGCTAGGCAAAAAGTGCACGCGCTAGGCTAAATTAACAATGTTTGCTCTGCGGTTGGCTGATCTTACGCGCCACAGGATAGACAGCAAGCAGTCAGCCTACTGCTCGCTATGGCTAGGCAAAAAAAGCGCACACAATAGGCTCAAGGGAACTGGGCTTAGTTTCGCAAACTGGTCGTTTCAATTAACCTCATAGGAAGAAATGCAATGGGTTCAAATCTGGTGACCGAGCAGGTCACGCTATTGGTCCTCCCTGACCAATCCAACGATAATAGAAGGTTTTGTTGAGATAATCAGGTGCCGTTGGTACCTAGTGCACACGTGTGACATCATACTGTTACCCAAAGGTACACAATAACCCTGCGGCTTCTAGTTGCGGAATGACACAATCATGCAACAGTTAATTGTACGAATATGCTAGGAAACGTAAGACATTAGTACTGCGAAACAACAACCTACCAGTCAGATTAGTGTGAAAAAATGGTCCCACGATTTGTTGACCAGTTAATCCAGCCCACACGATGAGCTTTGCGCCACGTTGAATACGTGAAGCGCTTTATGGGCGTGGGTTACACGTTGCTCATGCAAACTGAAAACCGCAACATCGGTGAAAAGAATAGATGTCTATGGTATTCAGAAAACCAGCAACAAAAATCGTGCCGCTTCTCCGAATCCCATGGGTTCAAAACTTGCACCTGAAGAGCACAAGACTTACGGAATTTACTTACTTTAAAATTCTGTGCACAGCATATCGGGTGGTGTCGCAATGCCAGGCGGTCTAGGAATGATCAGATCGCCCCTGCCGGATATCTCACAGATAACCATGCAAGCCGAAAAGTTATCTGTGGTGATACGACGCGGTCATTTTGGCGTCGCACGCGCTCCCAGTTTTCTCAAACTATTTCACCCGTCAAAGCATGTACCGTTCGTTGATTGACCGCATGGTTTAGTGCATAGTGTCGTATTGGCAAGCAGTTTCTTCAGCACTTGACCCGTAATCATCATACAGACGAAGATTAAGAGGCACGTTACCCGATTCGGATTGGATGAAAGACGGTAACGACAGTATATGCTCGTGCCACATCAACCAGGTAGTGACCCGATAACAAAATGATAAGAATTGCACTACTATGCCTAGTCATAGACTGACTGCTCGCTGTCTATCCTATAGCGTGTAAGGTCAAGCAAGCGCAGAGCAGGCATTTCTAATTCAGCCTAGCGCGTGCACTGTCTATCTCACGGCTTGCAAGATAGGTCATCCGCGCATGCACGAGTTGCTAATTACGACACAGCTCATGCGCTGTGCAATACAAACTGCCAGAATGGCTCAGTACGGGACCATCGTATTCATCGTAAGTCTGCTGAACGATAGCACAACGAGGAAACGGCGGACGACCCAAGACTATCGAGCGCTTCGGTTAGTGATTCGCCTGTCCGTCCGCACTCCTAGCCGAGTAAGCACGTCGTGTGCTTTGGATCATGTGGTCAACTGCGACTTATCCCTAGACTGGCCGTCAGGCAGTGCAGTTTGGCGTGGAGTCTGCACTTCACATGCGGCCACACCAAATGGAAATGTGGCGCTGAGCGCACTTGCAGTCGTATGGACGCGTGCGGTCAAACACAAGGTGTCGATTGGACGGTTTGAGTTCATAGAGCACTCGTCGGGTTTGCTTCATGCGTGCATTAGTGCGGCACGGAAGCTGCACCTAGATCAGTTTTTTTTGACTAACGGTAGTGTTTGTGCAATTGTTGCCTGTTTGGCAATCTGTAACAAAGTGCGCACGTGGAGGCATTCCAAGCTTAGCGAGGACCGTGGACATAAAAGGAAACCGGATGAGCTGACGTCCGCTTGGTTGAACATGTACTTGTCGATTGGACTGGAGCGGCCCTCTGCGATTGTGTATGAGTTGAGGCTGGAAGACAAGCGACTATTGAAGCAAGGTGAGAGGAAGGTGGGGGATTGAAAACAGGAGGGGGGAAAGTGACATTGGAATAGAACGATAAAGATGAAAAGCACGTGAAGGGGAATAAGAAGATGGGAAGGCTTGGGCAGTGGCATGCAAACCTCTACCTAACCTGCTCGATGCAGCATATAGAGTGCCGTTTATTATCAGACGACCAGAGCATTAAGAAATCGTGTGAAGATAAGTTCAATGAGTTGTATTGCGCAGGTAGTATACTGCAGGTTGCTCAGGCCTAGAAAGAATGATAAGGGTTCTCAACCAAAGCTTTTGGTTCAAAAATCTTACCAACAAACAGCAGGGTTTTGTCGCTGGCTTACAGTGAGTCCCTTTTAAGTGTAAGGAGTCACCATAACTTCAACCCCCGATATGGTGGGCCAGGAGACTAAGTTTGTCTGACCTATAACCATTGAGCAAAATAGTATGAGTGGCTCGGAAGGTGCAAAAAGCACCACTCAGGATAGCCCAGTGGATCGTTGAGATACACAAACCATCGCACCACGTTAAGATAAAGTCTCCTTGTTGAACCAATGTGGCTTGACTGGTCCAACTTTCCGATACTTGAGACGCACAAATCAGGCGCACAAGAATTTTACTCCATCTTGTATGATAGGCCATCTTCAACAGATGAATGATTTGATAGCGACCAGTCAATCTAAATCGGGGCGCGAGTGAGGCCGATAGACAACTGCAAATCAAAGGTCATGATTTCGAAAACCAGAGTGCGCATCTTCATAATTCATTACTCTAAGATCTGGTCAAATTCTAAGAGATATCAGAAGATGCTCACACTACATAAGTGCAAGCACGCGATTAACGGGCGTAGTAAATATGATTGAGATATCGCGAAACTTGAATAACGCCTCCGAAAACAGCCTCGATAGTGCCTGACAAAAAGTACGGATAAACAAATGTATTCGGGCTAAAGGAAGGAATGCACATTCCACTTTGGCCAACAATCACTTTTACTTCTTTTTTACTTAGCCAGAACATGTCACGTGTTTCTGAAGAATATAGGTACATGGACAACCTGGAAAAACAACACAAAAATGTGTCGCGCAAACAAACATGGAGAATGCAACCATATTCATCTAAGTTCATTACACATAGCATGAATTAACTAAGATAATTTTTGATATATCCTTACGACGGAACAGCTTCTCGAGTCCTTGGGAAACATACAACTGATCTGTATATTTATAGTACTCTGAATATTAGTCAACGAACTAAAATGGTAAAAGGGAGGATGTGATGAACACCGAACGTTCAGGAAGGCCGGAGAGATGGAAAGAAGGATATCACTAGCGTGTCAGTTAATAAGACGGGTGAGTACCACGATTAGACAAAGTTTGGACGCAGGCAAACGAACGATCCAAGCGTGCAGCATCAATGCGCAATTAGCAATGGACCACGGAGAAGTGTGACTGGTCCGTACGATAAGTTTGGTTGAACATATACTAGCCAGTTGAATGTAGCCTACAATGTGACAACGAGCGAAGAGACGAACAAATCGCGGAACATGACGGCCGACAAATTCGTTAGATAATGATATATTTTTAATTTTTGGACATGTATAGAATCCTTAGAGGACAAGCATTAGTGGCAAGAACAAGTGCCCTGTCCACTGTACCGGTCGAATGTGCCTATCAATAATGAAACAGTGTATATTCATTGTCAAAAGCATATATCCAAAATCAAATGTGCGAAAGAAGGTAAGATGGATAATATTATGCTCCAGGGACATGCTGCAATTGTGGTGAATGCAGATAAGAAAAGCCATCTACCCAATGTGTGGTGCATACACTCGTGAGGTTCAATAAAGCGAGCTATTAAAGTGTGCGGTGTACCAATACAGGGAGAAAAGAATACTAAGATGAAAACGACAGCTGCGATGGAAAAGGTGGTGGTCTATCGGGGATAGAACTTGTCAAGAATTTTCACCGGGATACGTTTGAGCATTTCTTTGGGGAAGACTCGCAAGAGTTCCCAACCGATGTCCAGCGAGTCAAAAATGCTTCGGTTTTCATACGCGCCTGGAAAAGTTACAAAATATTGGTGAGGGGATAATACGAATACATTACCTTGAGCGATGAAGCTTTTTTCAAATTTGGAAAGAAATTCTAAATATAGGAGATCCTCCGGGCTCAATGCTTCCTCTCCGACGACAGCCTTCATAGCTTGCACATCCTTACCAATGGCATAACAAGCGTACTGAAAAGAAACCAATGATGGATCAAATAACCCTCATGCGTTAGAAAACAGTAATCGACATATAGTGGGAAGGGTTGTATCAAATAAAACCAGAAACTCGAAATGGAAGTCCGAGGGTACGTTGAGCCGCAGTGGCAAAAGCACAGTTTCATCATATAGTATATTAAAACCTAATTATGGATGCAAGAACAGATAAGAAATAACAAAAACAGATGCAGAATACTGAATTGTTGGAACAAGTAGAGATTTAAATCTGCGCCACTCAATAGTAATATGATCAAAACCGATAAGCTAATCGTCCGTCGAGGACTTATGTGGTATTTAAAATGGTCCGACTTAGTATCACTTGACAAACAACTGTGAGATGTCACCGTCAGTGTGGGACCGTCCCCTGAGTCAAATGGTGATGAAATGTATATTCACTAAGGTTTTGAACTTCCGCATAGATTTGACCTCCACACCATGTTCTGGCAGAATATTCCAACTACGCTCTATCCGAAGCATAGGAGTGGGAAACTCATTTGTATCGGTGTTCCCTTGTTCCGCATTGCATTCACAAGGGAGGCAGCGATCTCAACAAGGTGAGGTCACCGAGATGTAACATACGACAGGTTATGATGAGCTAGACTCGCAGTCAGCGATAGGACGAGGTATAGAGTCCCAGCTTCTCGCACTGCTCTTGTAGGGATGTGTTGGACCCGTTCGATGTTCTGTGCCTAGCATTGGGTGAGTGAATAGTAGGTGGGCAATCTGTATTTTTATGCTGGAGAAGAGGAGAGTGGCAACCCTTTCAGACCAAGTACAAAAGGTGCATTTAAGTACCCAAGGCATGCGCAGTTCTTGATGTCCACAACAGTATACCTAGGTTACTCATGGAAAACATGGGGTGTAGTGGCTGGTCGTCGAGCGTGTAGGTTAGGTAGTCACCAACCTTCCCCGGGCTCATGAATACCGACTTGGCCGGGTTAACCGGGGCGTAGATTTCTACAGAATACATGGAGAGGCGTTAAGGTATTGCTGAAGTAGACCGCAGTCGTCAGAAGTGCTTATTGCTCGCCGAATCATCAAATGGTCCGCAAGCAGGGCATACAGCGACTGAAGAAGCTGAGATAGAATGTTGATGCGGAATATGAACTGAGCGAGCCGCAACACCGCGCCTTCGGGTATGCCACTAGTAAAGAGAAACCAGTTAGTAAGATGCCCATCGACCTGTACCCTCCACCTTCGTGCAACGAGAAACTCCCGGATCCATTAGTGCAGTGACCCATCAACACCGCATTCTCTCAACTCGTAGAGAAAGACCTAATGAGTTACCCTGTCGAACACTTTACTGAAGTAGATATGGATCACATCGACAGACTAACCCTAGTTCCATGCCTGAAGCCACTTATGCCTTACAACGATCAAGCTGGCAATGCATAAGCAACCTAGCATGAAACCGTCTTGTGCGGGCGTCAGCAGATCATTTTGATCTAAGCAGCAGTAATGGACCCTTCTTCACAATCTTCTCGGCAACCTTGGTCAAAATAAGTGTAAGACAAATGGGTCTGTAAGTATCTACTTTGCTGGGATCACTGCCTTTCGGAATAGGCATTAATGCCGAGGATTTCCGATCCATCAACAACGAACCTTAGGACAGAGAACTGTTGAACTGATCAGTCACATCAGGCGAGATGAAGGCCGATAAGGACATCAGAATTAGGGAGCGGAGCCGATCAGGCCCAACAGGTTTGGTGCCGTCAAAGTTGGCGAGTAATTGATGCACCTCTTCAACACCACATTCCACACTACACGTTGTACTCGGTACAGATACATGGTCATTTTCAAATACGGAAGCGAATTGTACCGCCAACACTGACGCACGCTCAGCGCTGGATGTTCGAGAATTTCCATCCGGGCCCTTTAGTAATGGTAGATAACTTGCAGGCTTCAGGCGTCGCTTCACATAAGCAAAGATTCTCTTCGCGGCGGTTGCGAACTGCTCGTTAAAATGCCGGTTGGTTGTTTTTGCACTGCTACAGATTCCGCTACTTATTATATGCTTCGTAGTCGTTGGAAGAGGCTGAGAGGACTTCGTCCCACAGTCAGCACCCACACCGAGCTATTTTGCCATACTCCTTGTCGAAGCAATCTGGCTTGATTGGTAAGCTTTCCGATGCTTCAGTGGTACAAACCTAGAACACAGAAATAGCACTACCCATCTTAGTACAGTCCAACAGTCTTCCATAGAGGCACTTTGTGACAGAGATGAATTCAATTGGTTCCAGTCAGGTCGTCCAAGTCCGATTCCCAGTAGTTGCAAGCTGAGCACTGAGTAGGCGCTTGTTGTCAGGACTCAAGAATATAAACATCACGCACACGTTGTTCGCCGCTTGTTAACGACAAATTTAGGAATGACGGAGTTGATCGCGGCGTTATACGTGTCGGCTGGTATGTGTTGCGAGGCTCCACCTTCAAATACAAAGTCAACGAAATTTGCTTCGTCCTCACAATGTATTGGATGACAATAGAAATCATCCATGAATACAAAATGGGGGCGACTTAAGTGGTTCCGTAAATGCAGCAGCTAGTCCAGACAACAGCTTAGAGGATTGTGGTAGACTGTCCCCTCACGCAGATGTCTCATAAGCACGATGGGCAAACAACCTGGCCCACCAAGAAAATACAGGGGAATATTACGTTGACGGGGTTATTCTATCATAGTGAACAGATGGATACATTGAACCAGCAGCTTAGGCAGTGTGAGGTGAACCTGACGCATCTGGTCATTGGATGCAACAAGCGTAGTCCCCCATCTAAACGGTCCTGCTTATTGACCAAAGTTCGTGTGCCCTATGGCGAGTTCATCGTTGTTTGGTAAACTGAATCAGAGGAAAAGCATTGACCCGAAAGCAATGTTTATGGAGATGTACGAACTATGTCTGTCGAGGAGTTAAGCGAGTCAAGTGTGCTGTAACATTCGCAGATCTACTTTTGCTGAATAAACGCTTACCACTGAGGTAGAGATTCATGCGAAAAGTACTACTACGGTACACAGCCTGCGAAACCAAAAGCGGGTACACGACGCGGAGGACAGGCCACACTAGAGCATAAAATTGAAGATAATCGAATACAAGAAGAACGGCAAAAGTTCGCTACGCATAAAAGATGAAAGTAGAAAAAAACAAATAGTTACCCATAACTGCTTAGCTATTGAAGTTGGTATCACAGTGCCTACAACGATCATAATATAATGTAAAATTGAACTTGGCAAAAGAAACAAAACAGATACGCAGAATAAGTTAATGTGATGTTAACAGTGTGTCATAAACGCCTCAACTGTTTCGACTCATCTAGTCGGGAGGGACGTTTTTCACTGATATTACTTCACGCGTGAAGTAACTAATTGAATTCGGAGCAGACGGCCTAAGAGACCTAGTCGTCAGACATGTGTACACCAGAGCTGAGACGGAAGACGAGACGCATGACTTGTGCACGACTGCATCGAGACCCAGAAAAGGAATTTTAATACAAACAGTTCCCTTCACAAAGAAAGACTGGCCGATAGCAAGAGTTCGTCTACGGACTCAGTCGAAGGCCAGCATACCTCTTATACTTTCGTATGCATAACAACAGTATAGTGGAGTAATGCGTAAACTATAGAAGAGGGTGAACGTTGGTAAGGCAAATAAATTGCCACTATTGAGGAAAACTCAGCTGAGATCAGAGTGGTTTACGACGGTAGATACAATAGCGTCAATGAGGAACTGAGGTAGGGTGTGCGCAGCGTGTGATAACACAGACAACAGGTTCAATGAGGAGAGCTCAGTTGTTCTGTGCGAAGTTTAAGTCATCATATGCCGACAGTATTGGTGAGATGATCTTCGCAACACAGTACTATGGTGGAATGGTGATAAAACAGGATGTACTCACCAGTTGATTGGATACATCCGCATGATCCTCTCTCGTCATGTTCTCTCCGATAGCCGACTTCATGAGCCGAGACAGTGAAGGGAGGACATTGATTGGAGGATAAATCTGGAAAGGTGAGGTGGGGCGCATGAGTGCTAAACAGCGGAAAGTCAGCATAACCACAAGAAACGTTAAACATTAACTCGCGATCAGTAGTTCGGGAGTAAAACTGAGTTCGTAACTGGCACGACAGTGCAAAATAAGCCGCGATATATCCTAGTCAGCTGTCACTCATGCAGGTAAGCAGCTACCAGCCATGGCGAAGTGGCACTAGCTGCTGGCATCCCGAAGTCGTGGGGTCGAAACCTGGTAGAGGTAAAAGGAACGCGCACTACTGACGACACCCAGAAGATCGATACGGCCGTGTGAGAGCATGCCTGGCTGAGAGTTAACTGCGATGAACTCACCTAAATTAACACTCAAATGCCCACTACTAATGAGTAAAATTGGGTGCTAATTGAATTTTTCAGCTGTGGACCGCCGGGCCATCATCGTTCTCATTCCACCGCCGTAGTTACCAACGCCCCAACACCAACGCAACGACTAGCAAAATGAGCAACAACAATAATCCACAACCAGTAGTATGCCAAGAGCTTGCGTTGATGGGTAGCGACTTTTCACCGTGAAGTGAGGCATGCGTCGAAATGCTCGGTCAGCTATCGTGCCGTTAACCACGTGGACAAAAGAAACGAAAGAACGCTAGCATCAAGCCAAATGCGTTAGCTGTGCGAAGCGGCGCTCGACATGCATCAAACTGCAGACGATATACTGAATTCCATAATGAAATTAAACACCAAAATGATTTTCCTTGATGGAAGAGAAAAGCATGAGGATAAGCACCAGTGAGACATAAGTAGAATCCAAAATCATCATGGTTCGTCATGCAACACATGTTAGCAGTGAGAAGCACACCGAGCAATACGATCCAACGGGATGGCGTAGCGAAAAAGAAAATAAAGGCAACAAAAACGAAGCAAAACAAAACATGCCATCGTGCTTTGTTTGATACTGTGTACTGACAACAAGACGGTGGATGGAGAGGGAAGTCAAGCGAGGTCGGGGGGGGGGGAGGTGGAAAGAAACATACAACACAAATGCCATTGTGGTCAGTTCGCTACGTCAGCAAGTGCATTCACCCAAACGTGATCAACATCCATAAGAGCCTTAACCAAAGAATCGAGGCTCAAACCAAGGCCAACTTCGAAGTAAGACACCACTGCTATTAACCAAATCATTTACTGGTCTCCCCTCCTTCCATTCCCACCCCGGCCGCGCAAACGTCGCGGGAGTCAGGGTCAATCAATAAGTCAACAACAGCAGTACATCAGCCATTTGAACTAAAGCTTCGCTGCCATACAACCATGATGCCCTATGGAATAAAGCATAAAAAGAGAGAGAGAAAGGGAAGTTACCGGAAAAACTTAATACCCCAAGCAAACATTCAGGGCCAAGGCGCCTACACCTTGTGTTAACAACATACCGTCACAAACAGCTGGCTATCGTGCAAAGATAAGGCGGCATAGGCGAGACAGCTTCCTTGCGACTTTCACTGCCCCGCGTCATAATCAGCCATTACCCCGCAGATAACTCAGCACCAAACACACTTTAAACAGACAATCCGATTAGGAGACGGCAGCAGACGCGCCACTGGTGTCTACTGCGAGCCACGTCCAGTAAAGTCTCGAGCCAAGCAAAAAGCGAGTCACATGGACTCCAGCCCAGAAGGCCAACGGCACCCAGTTTGGTCGTCAGTGACTTCATTTCCCGCTGTCAAGTCAGCTTCCGTTCACCGCGAGCCTTGCGCCACCCTACACCTGGCAGACTAAACAAGGCCCTCCTACTTAAGCGGTGACTAGGCATACGTAGCACGTGCCCGAGCAAACGCAACTTATTCAGTGCTATCTGTTGTTCTAGGTAGCTAGCATGATTACCACTACCTAGTACTCGCCCACGCACATCATAGTTGCGGACACACGGGAGCCATTCGACACCAACAATGATTCGCAGACAAAGATGATCAAAGACTTGAAGGCGTCTCAGATCATCAGACCGAAGGGGACAAGTTTCACTACCATACAGCAGAACGGCCCTACCGTGGCCTTGTATACACAAAATTTAAAACGGAGGGAAACTCCCTTCTGTCGCCAAAAATGCCGTAGGTCAAAAAAGGCAGTTCTGGCATTTCCAATGCGCGAACTGACTTCAGTTTCTATGCGCCCATCGTTGTTGGTGCAACTACCAAAGTAAGTGAATCGAGCAATGACCCCGAGTTCCTCGTTAGCAAGCGTCAAGGGGTCATCAAGTGGTTGGTGGTCCTGCAGCAACACTGCACTTTGACGTTGTGAACCGCGTACCAAATAATGGGACCACTCTAAACAGGCTATTCAGGGTTGATTGGATCGCCGCAACATCGTCGAAAAATAGGACGATTTCATCCGCATAATCAAGATCAACCAGGCCAGGCAGCGCTTCAACGCCTAGATCGCGAGATTCCGCAAGGGAACACTCCATGATAGAATCCAAGACGAAATTGAACAAAAATGGGGAAATCGGACAACCCTGACGAACGCCACTTGTGGTCGGAAAGTTATCCGACAGGTCACCCTAGACCCTGACAGGGCCTGTAGTGTTCGAGTATAGAGCACGAAAGATGTTCACATATTTCGTGGGAACACCTTTCCGCGCAAGTATTTCGAACAGGATCGATCGATAGACTAAATCGAACCCACTCTTGGAATCGAGGAACACAGCTATGGCCTGCCTGCGGTATGCATGGCGCTGCTCTAGCACCTGCCGCAAAGTGAACATATGGTCTATACAGCCCCGTCCGAAGCGGAAACCTGCCTGTTCTTCCATAATCCGAGATTCCCATTCCCCAGTAAGGCGACGAACGATAATCGAGGCCATCAATTTTGTCACAACTGGCGTTAAGCTAATACCCCTGGGGTTAGCACAGTCTGTGCGACTGCCCTTCTTGTAGACTGCCATTATAATCGAAGCCTTCCAGTTAGTCCGGACAATTCCTTCCAGAGATCTTCGAATAACGCGGTCAGTACTTTGCAGAGGACGTCACCTCCATCCTTAAACAGTGCAAGTGGGATGGAATCCGGGCCAGCGGCACGAAAAGGATTGAGGGCTGTGATCGGGTTGCGGAGCTCGGCCTCCGATGGAGGCTCTAAACTAACTGTTCATGGCTCATCCTGCATTATCTAACTAGGAACTGTTCCGGGAGCGGAGGGGCCAGCTGGATTGGTCTTGAAAGTGTTCCGCCCAACGAGTCATACGGCGCTCCTTATTGTGCATCAGTGCACCCGCGCTGTCTCTGAATGTCTCCTGAGGCCTGATTTTCTGGGACCAAGGGTGCGAATCAGCTGGAAGAGCTTGTGGTAATTGCCTACTGCTCTCGCCTCCTCCATTTCTCGAGACCTACTGATCCACGAGGCTTCCTTGTCAGCAAGTAGGCTCTGCCTTAGTTCACGCCTAACAGCCCGCCTGGTCACATTGTGCTCAGAGCCAGCCGGGAGGTGTCTTCTAGATTCCAACAGGTTCACCGACCTCTCGGATATCCAGTGACTAGTGCGGTGACGATGGATAGTGCCACAAGCAGATGCTCCTGCGTCGTGCATGGCGGCCAAGATCCTGTTCCACTAAAGATCAGTGTCAAAAGGAAACAACGAAAGTTCGGTACGCAGTGAGTGTTGATAGGCTTGCCTAATCGAGAGCTGCGACATTTTCTTAGTTGCCAATCGGAGGAGAAGCTTGGTGCGCCTCCCGGTAAAGTTCATGCAGAAATGGCAGCGTACTAAGGTATGATCAGAGTGGACGCGGGTATTCCAGTACGAGAGGCAATACAGGGTGGAACCACGACACCTATAACCTATGGCTATGTGATCAATTTGGGTCCATCGCTGGTCAGCTACAGGAGGATGTCAAGTGGCAGTTCCGCGCCCACTGTGTCCAAAAGCAGTGCTACTAAGAAACAACTGGTGCTCCGCACACAGTTGCAGCAGACGCTCACCGTTGTCAGTCCGTTCGCAGTTAAGCCCATAATGAACACCCAGCTGAGCTTCTGAAGAGCTCAGACGGCCTACTTGTGCGTTCATATCCCCTGCAAGTACTATAATATCTGAACTGGTAGCACTGCGTAGTAGCGCGTTCAGTTCGTGATAGAATGTGTCCTTGACAGCATTAGAACTACAGTCGGTGGGAGCATAAGCAGAAATCACAAACAAACAGCGTTTTGTGCTACTTCGTAAATCAACCTTAGCTGATGTCGTCAAACGGACTGCACATAAACGGCTGTTCACCGGAATGCAATCAACCAACGATGGCTCAGCCTTGGAGCTTAGAATGACATCTACACCAGCTTAACCCGTGAGTGCTGCATCGGCGTCTCCGGATGCGTGCAACCAATAACGAGAGGATAAGCCGGGTGCAGTTAACTCAATAACCCCATTAAGGTCATTGATCCTAGTTTCATACACACAGCACACATCAATTCCCAGTGTGTCCAACAGGCGTACGAGTGCAGTTTGTTGACCTATTTGTCTCAGAGTGCGAATGTTGAACGCCGAAATGGAAACAGGACAGCATGGCCTTAGAAGGGACTTTTGCTCATAGGCGTCCGATAGGTGCGGTGGGATGGTGGCTGCTGATGGTTCTACTCCAACGGCACTTCGGTTGCTGTCAATTAGGCTGGGAATTATAGTAGGGAGATTAGTAATGGGGGTCGGGATGGGAGTAAGAGAAACAGATGAAAAAGAAAGGTGTCAGCAGTAGCATGTTTTCTATTTTCCGCCCTGCTGTATGCAACAGATAAAGCGACCATGGATACTCTGCGTGACGGCCGATGCAGCATGTAGTTAGAGTTTGGAGAAATTGTCATGGTTGTATATGGCCTTAGATACTGACAGGGCGCCCAGTCCTAGACAGGAGGACGAGTAGGGTCCTCAGCCAAAGCCTTTGGCTCAAAAGCCTGTCCGCGAGGCAGCGAGGAGGTGGCAATAATCTGCTTTTACAGAAATGGGTGCTATCCCATTTCAAACCCCCAACCTGGAGGATCAGGA